TTTTTTTTTTTTTTTTTTTTTCATAGTTCTTCGTAGCAAGTCGTAAGTAATTTCTCAAATTATTTTGAAATCGGGCAGATCGTTCGACATTCGGGATCATTCACAATGAAGTTGTACAAAGTGAAATGTCTTCGTCAGCATTTTTAATTGTATTTCAATTGCATTGTTTTATCGTATTACCGTGTAGCTATGAATAAAAGAAATACCAGATAAAAACGAGATTCAGGTTAGATAAGATGTGCATAACATTTACTAAAGAATGAATATACAACACTACTGTTTCAAACTTGATTCATCTAATTATAACATTCGGATCTCAGTATACTGTTAATTAAATTTCAAACTATTTTACATAACATATTCAATAAAAGTCTCTACGAGTGTTCGAATATTTTGAACAACTATATACGATATCTAGTCTCTTTTCAGTATAAGAATTTTGACTTCCAAGATTCGAGTATTATTCGTGAGTACTTTGAATCTGATACAACATCGAGCAGATTTTCGAAACATTGTATATTATGAGTACTCACAAGTAATGTCGTTTTTCATGATACAAAAAACTGTACAAAGTGATTGATTTTATTTCAGAGTTAATACAGTTTCAATCTGTAATATAATTTAACAACAAGCACACTGAATGTCAATATTTAACTAGAATATAGTTAAATTATTGTCACTAGGCAATGTTTATTAAATTTGTAGAAAACGACATCACTTGTGGATACCCCTCGTGTGTTCTTGAAATGTTATATATATTCGTTCGTCGAAAATCAGTGTAAAATATGTATATTGCATTAAAAATGAATACTGATGCAATATGAAATAATGCAATAACAATTGTTACACGCAATTGAAAGATTTCCACTCTAGTGTTTATTTTCGACACCGACGAACGAAACTGAGATATCGAAGTTGGCTAGGTTTCGCGAGCGTGCGTGTTGGACTTGGTCCCATTGCTGCTAAGCGGATCGACGCGTATCGCAATTTTCTCGCCGGCGAACGAGCGCGTCCGACGTTGGAACGGATCGTCGGCGACGCGTCGGCGATTTTGCACGCGTGGAAATTGGATGACGCCTGGCGTTGGATCCTCGCAATTTTCGTTTACGATCGGGAAAGGCGGAAACGCGGCGGCGCGTTATTTGGATAATGCGAGCCGAGCCGGCGACCATTCGATGGCCATTTTGCTCGTTGATTAAAAGCAGAGTTATGTTAAAACCGGCGAAATATTGACCGGGACGATGCTCGGCGGCCGATCTTATTCCATCCGCTCCGAATCTATCTGTTCCGCGTTCTGACGTGATCTCCGAGGCTCTCTTTGTTCTTCTCCTTTCTTTCTTCCTTTTCTCTCTTTTTTCCTTTGTGTTCTTTTTCAGAGAAAAGAGTATTTCGTTCGAGGCAGGCAGACGTTGATTTAAACAGGGACGTGGGAATTTCATGA